AATAATCCCCCATCCCTCTTTAAAATTAAAAAAAGAACACAAAAAGAGCGTTTTTTTTGGCTGTTCCGCCCTTTGAAATTCACTATTCTTACAGTCTGTTAAGACTAAAAGACTAAACTAATTTGGAAAACTTGATTAGATTTTTATTCCAAATACAAAACAGTTAAATCATTTTTATTCAGTCACATTGACATAGAAAGAACTTCAACTTGTCAGTCTTAAGTAGCACCTCATATTTTTCTTAGCCTTTCAAGACTTTCTTGGAATTTTGCATATTCCAGTGTGGTTCGGTCACTCCTCTTGCCTAGGTACGCCATGAGAGCATCTCCAAACTCCTGTGCCGTTTTCATCCTCCTCTTCCCACTGGGCAGTGTCACCTGGATTCTGAAGATAGGTTCGACTTTAGGCAGAAGCGTGGTACTTTCTCTGGCAAACTGAACCTCAAGCTTCATCCTCTGCAGCTTTGCGTTGTTGTTCAGACTTTCATCCACAAGGAACTTCTCAACTTCCCCACTGTCAGTGAAGGGGCCACCTCTAGATTTCAGTGTGTCCAGCATGTCTAGTCTCTTCCTCTCCTTTCTTTGAGCCATCTCCTCTTTCTGAGATTGGCTATAGTTGTATAGAACTCATCCCGGACTTTTCTCTCGGACAATCGTATGTTTTGAAACTCTTGTGGTAGTAAATCTTCATCCATGTCTAGTTCAGCAACATCTGTGAAGATTGTTTTCCTTCCTTTGGGTTCTGCTCGCGCCTCACTCTCTTCACCCTCCTTTTGAAGCTGTGTGTCAGTCTCAGACATCTGTCTCAGTCGCTTTTGGAGGTGTGCCCTCTTTCTCTTCATCGCTGCTGCAGCTGGATATCTCACCAGTTTCAATCAAGATATCTGTGATATGGTCCAGAGTTTGATATGAGAACTGCTGGTCTCTCTTCCTCTAGTACTCTTCGCTCCTCTCCCTCAACCTTTGGGTTCGCATCATGCTATGGTACCAGACAGGGTCCACACCTTTGGAACAGAACATCCTTCGCTCTGTCTTCTGGTCTTCATAGTATTTGTGCTCCATCTCACTCATGCTTACACACCACTCTTTCTCCAGTGATTGCCGCCGTATAGGGTCATGGGCAAATACATCAAAGAGCTCAGACTTTGTATGAAATAACTCTTTGTATTGTTGGACAGCCAGTGAGTCTTCTTTCCCTGTCTGTCCATACCTCTTTCTGCCCTCAATGAACTGTTTCCAGATCCTTTCTACCTTCCTCTGGATGGTGCTCAAGGAAACACAAAACACAGTGTCGTGGTAGTACTTGGCGTAGACCTGTTTTGCCACTTCCCATGCTGCTATGGTTGTAGTCACTCTCCCATTGCCCATCTCCAGGTGGTACCGTCTCATGCTTATGACACTCTGCAGTGTGGGGAGTTTTGTGGGTGGTTGGAAGTTCTTGGAGGGAGGAAAGTCGGTATCTGCATTATAAATGTTTCCGGTAGATCTAGTTTTGGACATGTGTCTGGGCTCTGCCATGCTTGATGATGTATGTCATCAGACTGATGTGACTTCTCTGAAAAAGATTAATATTCTAAATTAGATTAAGTTACAAGCACTAGGTCTAGGAGAGTGTTAATTACTTCAGTGCTGTCTACTAATTTAGCTTAATGTAACAGTTAGCTAAGTAATTACTGTATAATAAAGTTAGCTGGCTAATTTGAGCAAAAACATGTCAAATCAACTGTTGCACTAAGCTAGCTAGCTAGTTTGAGCTACGTTCTTAACAGCTAGAAAGCTAAAAGTATGACTAATATTGGATGGAACCTGACACAAACCAAGCTAAATTATCATATAATATCATATAATAATATAATTATAAAATAATATAATATAATAGTTTTGTTAAAAAGGAAAAAACATACCTGCGACAACTCTGTTTAACTGCTTGTCAGATGGTGTGTTGAATATGATCGTCTGCTTGGGGATTTCAACGGTTTGCTTGCAGTCAACCAGGAGCCACAATGCATTATGTAAATGTACTTTGTTACATTAGAACTTTGCAACATCTGACAGGTGAACCAAAGTGTTCTCTTAAGATTTTATTTTATTTTTTAATGATAAAAGGGGGAAAAAAACATGTCCGATTTAGTTTTTTGGGTGGGGTGGGGGGTTTATTTCATGATAGGTACCAACTCCCAATACAAAATATCTCCCAAATGACCCAATGCACCATCCCTGAAGTGGGCGTAATCATTTTCCAATTTTTTTATTTTTAGGCCATTTATCCCCCCCCCCCTACTATAGGCTAAATGTGTTGTTCATGTCTAAAATGAAAATGTGTAAATTATAATTTGGAGTAAACATTTTCTATCACTCTACTTTCACCACAGAAAAGTTACATCAGGACTGAATAATGACTTCATATTCCATACCAAGGTTCATGTGATGTGTACAAATACAATTATTTCATTCAACTATTTATGTTAACATAAGAAACTGTAAAATCTCAATATTTCCAATATCAGAACTTTTTCAACCAACTATTCATTATAAATGTAAAGACAGGGGGAGCAGTGTGATTGTCTGTCTTCCAGGACAGGGGGTCTGGCTGCTGTGTAGGTGGGGGTGATGGTGCATGGGCTGCTGGTGGCTGCTGGAGGGAGGTAGGTGTGATTGTCCCGGGTTGATGCTGGTGGCTGTGTGGGAGGTACGTGTGCTAGGTGAGACTTCTTTGCTGGCTGGGTTGATCGTGATGGCTGTGGTGGAGGCCTTTGTACCGAGGTGCAGGCACGTGCACACATAGACATCAAAGTGGGCTTGAGCCCCTGCCCTTTTTCTTCCTCCAGAGAAAGTGACCTTTTTCCCCCCTTTTTTTATAAATAAATGAATATATATCTATACACAGCAAAATCAGCATCCCCAAATTAACACTGTCAGATTTGATTTCAACACTTTGACAGTGTCTATATGGGTCCAGATAGAGTTAATTTCACTATTGTTAAAGAGTTGGTTTCTTAACACTATTCAGAGTAATTATTAACTCTATTTGGAGTTAAAATGTAACTCTTCGTAACACTAACCAGTGTTAGTTTTTCTCAACACTTGCATGGTGTTAAATATTAACTCTATCACAGAATAGTTTATTAACTATGAAAGTGTTACTCATATATTAACACTTTAAGGTGTAAATAAAGCTCTAATAAAGCATAACAATTACTAAAAAATAAAGTAGGCTAAAGTTGTTTGAAACAAGATTTATTTTCAAACATTCGCACCACAAAAGCATTTTAAAATACATTTCAAAATACACAGCAATATGGAACAATGTATGCTCTCTCATTTCATTAAAGTATTGCCTATCAAAGGGTCTAACATAGGTGAGCTGGTCAATACAAATAACAGCATGTTCATTACTTTGGTCCTCGATACAGTCGGCATGAAAGTGATCATCATAGTACAGCGTGTGAACAGTGCAACCAATTATGAAAGCACGCTGCTCATGAATGATGATGTTGCGAATTTTCATGAACACAGGTAGGTAATGGAATGTTCCAGTGCATACACAGGTAGGTAATGGAATGTTCCAGTGCATACACAGGTAGGTAATGGAATGTTCCAGTGCATACACAGGTAGGTAATGGAATGTTCCAGTGCATACACAGGTAGGTAATGGAATGTTCCAGTGCATACACAGGTAGGTAATGGAATGTTCCAGTGCATACACAGGTAGGTAATGGAATGTTCCAGTGCATACTGTACACAGGTAGGTAATGGAATGTTCCAGTGCATACACAGGTAGGTAATGGAATGTTCCAGTGCATACACAGGTAGGTAATGGAATGTTCCAGTGCATACACAGGTAGGTAATGGAATGTTCCAGTGCATATGTATAGATCAATTTGGTATTCAGTGCCATCATTTTTGACCCATCTTGTAGTTGAAACCTGAAAAGATTGAAACCTCTGAAAATGCATCTAAATGCAACATCTGACACTGATTCTGCACCTTCCAAGTTATTTATTGTTTTCATTTTTAAAGGACCAAGCTCAAACCTTTTAAAATAATAGTTTTCATAATAAAAAGCCATTTGCCGCTGGTGTTGCTTAACAAGAGATTTTGTAAGGTTTTTGAAATTGTTTACAGACCTTTTAAACAAATTATGTTTTGCTTTGAATCACATAAACCACATATGGATAAGAGGGACAATTGTTGTAATACATCTCGGATAGTGAATCATTAAGTGGTGTTAGGGAATCTATTTCTTATCAGGAAATAACACTTTGAACATGTTGTCGTGGTCACAGATCAAATGTTTTAGGTAACTTCAGTCAGGATAGGGGAGAAAACAATATTAACTATTTGCAACAAAATGAGCAAAAAGTTCCAATACTTATTTTCTCTTTGAACCATATCGCCAAAGATAAGTGCGGAGAACACACAATGACTGAATGGCGTTTAAACCTAAGTGCTTGCTGTTGTCATCAAGTTTTAAAGCACTTGGTTTGTTTTTACGTTCCAAGTAACCATAGTTAAAACTCTGTACCCTGTCTGACAGGGCATTCAAAGAGATGTAACCATTTTTCATTAGGTACTGAAAGAAAAGCTTTAGCTCATACTATACACCCTCTAACAAATCATGCATTATATCAACTGCAAAATTGTCAGTGCTATGAAAATACTGCAATGAATTGAGCACACAAGATGTTTTAACACCATAAATGGAAGGTCGAGCAGGATCTTCACTTAATGCATTACAATGTTCAACGTGCAGTTCTCTGGAGCGCAGGATAAGTCCAGGATTAGTCTCAGTGAACACAGACTGAAATTCGTGAATTGGCTGTTATTGCTCACGCAGTAGTCGTGCACTTAGTTCTTTGACTCGTGGGCTTTCCTTTGCATTACCAACATCGATGTTGAACATCGTTGTTTGGATGAAGGTGTAGAAACTGGAGAGAGCTTCATCATAAGAAAGGCTGAAGACATAGTGAGCTTTGAAAAGGGCATCAAAAGCAGCCACCGATGTCTGAGCGTTGCATGGTATGGGTTTGTGGTCCACAACGATGACCTCTGGATTTTCTTCCTTTGCTCACCAATGCAGAGGAGGAAGGGCTGTCTTGCTTCAACTTTCTCCAGGAATGTGGTGAGGCTGGCTCCCTGCTGTAGTTTGAATGACAAATGCATATACATTTACTGTACATATATATATATTTATATATATAAAAAGTTACTACTTAGCATAACTTACTTAATAAGGAGTAAGATTTATTCTTGCAGTCTTATATCAAACTGCAACACTTACATACAACCACAGCACACAAAAAAAATGTTAGTACAAAAATCTAATGGTAAATACCTTAAGAAATCTTACAAGATGAGCTTATCTTGGCAGTTTTTTTATGGCCTCTGGGCATTGGGGGCAGGAGATGCAATAGCAACAGGAGAGCTGAAATGTCACCATCCCAGCCTTGAAAATAAACAGAGGAGAATGTATTAGAAAAATATATAAATTGAAGCTGCAGTCAATAATCAAGGGACCATAGAGGTGAATCATTTAAAAAAATTATAATTCTTCTAGGGTTCCTACTTGAGTTGTAGTTGAGGCTACTGTTACATATTTAAAGGGGACCTATCATGCAAAATGCACTTTTGTACGTCTTTTATACATGAATATGTGTCCCCGGTGTTCCAGGGAACTCACCAAGTGTCAGAAAACACAACCCTCTCTATTTTCCTCCATACCCAAATCTCTAAAAAAGGGGCTGCAACGGATCTGATAAAAACTGATCCAGATTTGAACACTGTCCTGACGTCAGGACGGTGGCGCTACGGCTATTGGGCCAACTCCACCAATCAGGAGGAGACAGCCACGGCCATTCCCGTTCGAAAGCGCTGGAGACGCTGTAGTACATATGCCAGGCCTGTAGATGGTGCTGTTCTCACAGAATCAGCCCTTGCAAAAACAGAGCTAACATTTTTCAAATTGAGCAAAATGAGGCATGGCTAAAATGCATGATCTGTTTGGTATTTTGAAAAAAAAAAAGTATAAATATGCCTTATATAGGTATGGTCCTACACTATATTATTCAAATATAGCATGATAGGTCCACTTTAACTTATTAAACAGGCAACTTCTTTATCTTAAAAACACAACTGTTATTATTGTCTGACCAACCAAAATGACGAGAGAAGCAACCTGCGTTACAAGGCAGATGCACCAGTAACATTAACCTATGATGTAGACTTGAACGTTTCTATGATTCATTAGCAAATAAACGCAAGCCTTCAAAACAGGGATCTCATTAAATACTACCGATATCACGCTCCCACTCGGTGCCTGCATTCACATAAAGGTTATGTTTGTCTGGTTACACGTTTTTTTGGCTTGGTTAGCTAGCGCTAACTCTAGCTTAATGCTAAAAGCCCACAAGCCAAACACATCTTATCTTAGCGGTGACTCGCCTGTCTTATAGCACAGCTCAACAGGAAAATAGTCTATCACACGTTTGTCATGAAAACAGAAGTTTTAGCGAACTAAATGTTGGAATAGCCAATGTAACCAGAATTATCACTGGTTATTGACGGATGGCAAGGAACAGAACCGCGGTATAAGTTACAGGATAACGATAACGTGAGGCTTACGGTGTCTCACTTTTAGACAGAGACATAAAAGAGAAATACCAATAACAAAACACAACATTAACAGAAATGATTTTAATTGACTTACCAAATAATGTCCGGGAGCAGTCAGCCGTCACGGCAGACTCTTGTTTGAACTTTGAAGTGGCTTCAGTGCTACGACAATGGGGGCATGGTGATACATGCATTTACACTTAAGGTGTTAGGTTTGGAGTTAAGAGTTAAACGTTCAGAGTTAATGTACTACAATTACACTTACAGATTTGATTTATAGATATTTCGTTTTGACACTCGTTTTTAACACCAACTATTTGTCTAATGAGAGTTAAATATAAGGGATTTAACTCTATCAGGAGTATATTTAACTCTACTCTTGTTTACATTTCACCAACACCAAAATATTAACTCTTCTCAATTTGCTGTGTACTGTTTGCGCACAGTTTCCCTTTCCAAAAAGATATTGATTGAATACAAAATAAAAAAGATCAGGTCGGGAGATTAGACTGTGAAGTTCCGATGCTCTCTCTACCCTCCCTCCCTCCCTCCCTCCACGTCTCGCCCACAGCGGTGCGGACATTGGCAGTCACTTCAGACCGACAGTCACTTCAGACACACCAGGCCGATATCGGCCGTCTTCGGTTGTCTGGCGACAAAGCGTGCCCTGTCGCCCAAAGTCAATTTGGTGTGTCCCGAACCCTCGGCCGTGACACGCCTTATTTGGCCTTTCACGGTCGACAAATGGCCGATTCAACATGTTGAATCGGCCATTTGTCGGACACAAGCTATCGGGCCAAGAAACCACTCTGATCAGCTGTTCAGCTAGCAAATGAGAAGCGAAACGGAAGTGAGGGACGTAAACAAACGATTTAAGAAGGCACAGGACAGCAGCTAAACCCCAGCAGGTGATACTTAAAAGACATCAAACATAGCCCTTAAATGTCCCACACATAGCAGGGACATCTCTGATATCGGCGGGAGCGTCCCCGGCTGTCCTCTGCTGAGAGCTCCGTGATTTGTTTGGTGAAGTCCGGTTTTTCATCTCATCGGTTTATTTGTCAGTATAAAGTTGCAGGATTAGTCTCAAGTACCTCAACATTGTCCTTAAGTACAGTGTCTAAGTAAATGAGATACTGTCTACTGCTGTTCATTTACCTATTGTGAGTCGCCTCGGATAAAAGCATCACATGGAAATGTAAATTTAGCAAGAAGTGGCCATTATGACATTACATACATTACTACATTGCTGACTCAATAAACTACACACCCGCCAGAACACTGCGATCATCAGACGCAGGTCTATTAACTGTGATTTTATAGTATGTCTGCACTTTATGTGCTCATTTCATCATTCATGTATTTTTATATTCTAAAACATGTTTTCGATGGACGAGAGTGAAAATGGAACGCACACGCTATTTGTTGTTTGTTTATATCAGTCTGTTCTTCTTCTCTGTCTTCCGGTTGTTGCCTATTTTGAATGACGAATACACACTACCGCCGCCTCCGCCTGCTGGTAAGGAGCGTTATTGCCACTCACGCATGCGCAGTTCGTACGTGCTCGGCTGAAGTCTTTGTGGTGTGTTCCAGTGCGACACACGGCCAAGACGCAGGAGAACTCGCCGATGCAACAGTCGATGTCGGTGTCGGCGAGTTCTCTGGTGACTGCCTGGTGTGTCAGGGCCTTATTTATGCCGGCTTTTCTTGGCTTGTTTGAAGGTGAGTGGTGATGAACAAATCACTAAGCTGCCAGTGCCTCGAGTTTACGCTAATTAGCCAAAAGACAAAAACAAATATAGTTAAAGGGGACCTATCATGCAAAATGCACTTTTGCACGTCTTTTATACATGAATATGTGTCCCCGGTGTTCCAGGGAACTCACCAAGTGTCAGAAAACACAACCCTCTCTATTTTCCTCTGTACCCAAATCTAAAAAAAAGGGGCTGCAACGGATCTGATACAGACTGATCCAGATTTGAACACTTCTATGTCGTCACAGAAGTGGCGCTACGGCTATTGGGCCAACTCTCCACCTATCAGGGGAATGTGGGGTTGGGCCACGGCCGGCCATTGCCGCTCGAAAGCGCTGGAGACGCTGTAGTACATATGCCAGGCCTGTAAGTGGCGCTGTAGTCTGCCACAAAAGCAGCGAAGAAGATAGTTACCATGGTTACGCTTCTGTTTATTCTCCGCTGTGGCTTTTTTTCTCCCTCCCCGAGGCAAGCGTTTGCTCCCGCTGCTTTAATTCAATGCAATCCCTCCCCGTCGAGGCAAGCACTGTAATTCTCTCCGGTTAGTCCACCAGCAGATGACAAACACCCACCTCTCCGCCTCTTCCAAGGAACGAGGGGACCGTGCGGCAGAGTTTCAGTTAGGTTTTCTTTTCCGCCGGTCAAGATGTCCGTTAAAGTTGAAATCTTCCGGACAAAATTAGAAAAGTGCCGGTCAAAGGTCTTCTTTGTTATTTATTGAGCTTTAAAACAAATGAATAACGACTCTATATAATAAAACACGGAGGACGGAGATCTCTTTTTCTCCCCCTCTTCTGACAGCCCAGCAGCTGATCAGAGCGGCTCCCCTCTCCTGCAGGGGGGCGTGGTCAGCAGAATCAGACCCGTAGACAGCAAACAGCACATAGAGCGAAATGAGGCATGGCTAAAATGCATGATCTGTTTGGTATTTTGAAAACAGAAACGTATAAATATACCTTATATAGGTATGGCCCTACAATATATAATTTAGATATAGCATGAAAGGTCCACTTTAAAGAACATTTGTTGGCATTTTCTTTGATGTAAATAAATAAACTTGTGTTCACATTCACCCTGACTCTCTCAAGGTTGTTGTGTGTTACTGTCTCCATTTCCCCTACACTTTCTTAGGGATGGAAAAAAACACAAGAATGTATAAAAAATGAAATAATCCAGTAATTCAATATATATGATTCTAAAATGAGACATTACGCACTGTAAGTACTTTTACTTTTGGTACTTTAACTATTTTTTTGATGCCAATTTGAGTTAGATATAGATTAGTAGATCATTAACCCATAACCCTATCTTTGCACTATTTCTATTATATTATTTTGTATGTGTATTACTTGCATTATTTTATCTGTTTTATTGTGTTGCTCTGCTGGAGGAGTCTGTGACCTAAGAGAACTGTAGCTATGCACACATGACAATAAAAGCCTTGAATCTTGAATCTAGCATTGTCACTTTCTATGGACTAACATTGCTTCCTTTTTATCTTTAAAGTACTTCAAGAAGAAGAGGCGCCTCATCCCAGAGAGAACTATCTGGAAGTATTTTGTGCAGCTCTGCAGCGCCCTGGAGCACATGCACTCACGCAGAGTAATGCACCGTGGTAAGCAGCTACTGACCCATTTACTCACCCTCGTCACATTTCATAAAAGAGTGGTGCAGGAATGAGTCTTCCAACCCGTAAAGGAGGTAGCATTTGAACACTTCTGGTTGAAGGACGGCCTCACCTTAGTATGTTTCTGACAGGATAAGAAACCAACTCCACTATTTGTGGTTCTTTAATTGCACTTGCATTGATCTCCTTTGTTACGCTGCCCCCTGGTGGAGAGCCTTAGACACTGAGGGGTCAGACTTATATTTGCCTTTGTGTGTGTGTGTGTGTGTGTGTGTGTGTGTGTGTGTGTGTGTGTGTGTGTGTGTGTGTGTGTGTGTGTGTGTGTGTGTGTGTGTGTGTGTGTGTGTGTGTGTGTGTGTGTGTGTGTGTGTGTGTGTGTGTGTGTGTGTGTGTGTGCCTTAGACACTGAGGGGTCAGACTTATATTTTGCCGCAATAAATGTACAAGCTGCTCGAATGAAAGCCATCAGAAAACCTCATTATGGATCATCAGCAATTGCATATTGGTATCAGCGGCTAAAAACTTGATCTATTTATTCATACTTTTGTTCTTATTGTACAATCAATATTTAGACACAGGAAGGAATGTGTACTTGACATAGTGTACATTTCTCTACAGCCTGCAATGATTGCATCAGCTTTGCTGTTACATTTCAACGTGTGTGTGTGTGTGTGTGTGTGTGTGTGTGTGTGTGTGTGTGTGTGTGTGTGTGTGTGTGTCAGATATAAAGCCAGCCAACGTGTTCATCACAGCCACAGGTGAGGTGAAGCTGGGTGACCTGGGATTAGGACGCTTCTTCAGCTCCAAAACCACGGCGGCACACTCCTTAGGTAAGGAACAGACAGAACATGTAAATACAGAACATGCATACATACATATTCATATACATGGATTCGATACAGAATACATTTAAAAAACAGCATTAGATCTGTGTGTTTTATGTGATCGTCTCACAGCAATGATCAATTGATTTTCTGAACATCTTAACTCTCTTTCTCCCAGTGGGGACTCCTTACTACATGTCGCCGGAGAGGATCCACGAGAACGGATACAATTTTAAGTCTGATATCTGGTCTCTGGGATGTCTTCTGTATGAGGTAAGCTCACATACACTGTTACTTGTTTTTTTAAAGATTTGTACACCTTTTCCAACGTGAAATTCAAGCACTTTGAACCCTAACCCTTTTACACTACAGCTGAGGTTAATACATATTCACATATAGTACGTATGGCCTGCTTTAGACGAGGATGGAAAGGGAGCTCTTCAGGTATAATGAAATGTAGTGGGCCTAGCATCAGTCCCAGGAAAGTCACAATACATGCAGGGCAGCTTGCAGTCTTCAAGCTCCTTTTCAATCCCCCAAAGAGTGGACGTCTGCGCTCTGTCAGCAGCGACTGATCTATCACCTCTTCTTCATCGTGTTGGTTTAAAGTCTTCATCAGGAATGTCTCTCATCCAGCCTGTCTTCCACTTGTTTCTGCAGATGGCAGCGCTGCAGAGTCCGTTTTATGGGGACAAGATGAACCTGCTCTCCCTCTGCCAGAAGATCGAGAAGTGTGATTACCCCCCCCTCCCTCCGGACCATCACTCTGAGAAGGTAGATGAGGAATCATTAATACAGACAACAAATGCAATTTTTCCTCCTTGATCAAATGTTACTTGGCTGTAGGAAATGAATGAACCTAAAGGGCCGATTACCACATTGTTGTTGTGTCTTTTCGTGGGATTTGTTGCAGGGGCGGATCTAGACACATATTCATGGGGTGGCAAGAGGGTGGCAGGAGATTTTGAGGGGTGGCATCCCCTGGCAGAAGTATATGCTGATTTAATCGCAGTCTATCAATCAATGTTAACTTGGAAAGCCACAATATTCATATTTTAACTCAATAACATAGGTGACATTATTGTGGCACATCAGTCAAGCCTTACATATAAATATATAAGGTGGCAGACATCATTTAATGAGGTTAAAATGTTAACATAGGTTCAGGAGCATGGCCACGCCTAAAACTCCGCCTCAAACCACGGACACCCCTATTTATATCCGGCGAAAGCTTCCGGCCACCGCTTGTCTCATCTTTCAAAGATCGACAGGCAGACTGTGATTCACGCTGCGCGTCGTCCCTGTGCCCACAGGCTTCACAAAATCCCCCTGCACATACATCCCTTCATCCCTCCATCCCTTCTTCTTCTCTACCTTCAGCAGTCCACAGCTACCCAGCTTCTGCTTACTTTCCTCCTTTAGCAGCTAACCCCGTAGCAACAGCGTCCCACCCAGTAAACCAAGGGGCAGGGGCCATGCCACATGCTAACCTATCACCCGACTCTTACCTAGTACCTTCCTTTCCAACTGCTCTACCTTTTCCCCCTCCCCCTCCCCCCCATCCCTTCCCCAACACCCAAATGTTTTTCCTCCCTGTGCAACCAGCTACACTCTAGCCACAGCAACACCACCCATCGATTGACTATCACGGCACCTCAGCACACCCGTCAGGAAATTCAGAAACTCGGCCCCAGAGGCGGATCTCCATCCCATACCGGTCCCACCGTTTTCAGCCACCACATTCAACTGAGACTTCTCAGGATGACTAGAGATCTCCACATAGTCCAGAACAGACCTGAATCCAGTAGACTTCTCAGGATGACTAGAGATCTCCACATAGTTCAGAACAGACCTGAATCCAGTAGACTTCTCAGGATGACTAGAGATCTCCACATAGTCCAGAACAGACCTGAATCCAGTAGACTTCTCAGGATGACTAGAGATCTCCACATAGTTCAGAACAGACCTGAATCCAGTAGACTTCTCAGGATGACTAGAGATCTCCACATAGTCCAGAACAGACCTGAATCCAGTAGACTTCTCAGGATGACTAGAGATCTCCACATAGTCCAGAACAGACCTGAATCCAGTAGACTTCTCAGGATGACTAGAGATCTCCACATAGTCCAGAAGAGACCTGAATCCAGTAGACTTCTCAGGATGACTAGAGATCTCCACATAGTCCAGAACAGACCTGAATCCAGTAGACTTCTCAGGATGACTAGAGATCTCCACATAGTCCAGAACAGACCTGAATCCAGTAGACTTCTCAGGATGACTAGAGATCTCCACATAGTCCAGAACAGACCTGAATCCAGTAGACTTCTCAGGATGACTAGAGATCTCCACATAGTCCAGAACAGACCTGAATCCAGTAGACTTCTCAGGATGACTAGAGATCTCCACATAGTCCAGAACAGACCTGAATCCAATAGACTTCTCAGGATGACTAGAGATCTCCACATAGTCCAGAACAGACCTGATACCAGTAGACTTCTCAGGATGACTAGAGATCTCCACATAGTCCAGAACAGACCTGAATCCAGTAGACTTCTCAGGATGACTAGAGATCTCCACATAGTCCAGAACAGACCTGAATCCAGTAGACCTCTCAGGATGACTAGAGATCTCCACATAGTCCAGAACAGACCTGAATCCAGTAGACTTCTCAGGATGACTAGAGATCTCCACATAGTCCAGAACAGACCTGAATCCAGTAGACTTCTCAGGATGACTAGAGATCTCCACATAGTCCAGAACAGACCTGAATCCAGTATACTTCTCAGGATGACTAGAGATCTCCACATAGTCCAGAACAGACCTGAATCCAGTAGACTTCTCAGGATGACTAGAGATCTCCACATAGTCCAGAACAGACCTGAATCCAGTATACTTCTCAGGATGACTAGAGATCTCCACATAGTCCAGAACAGACCTGAATCCAGTAGACTTCTCAGGATGACTAGAGATCTCCACATAGTCCAGAACAGACCTGAATCCAGTAGACTTCTCAGGATGACTAGAGATCTCCACATAGTTCAGAACAGACCTGAATCCAGTAGACTTCTCAGGATGACTAGAGATCTCCACATAGTCCAGAACAGACCTGAATCCAGTAGACTTCTCAGGATGACTAGAGATCTCCACATAGTCCAGAACAGACCTGAATCCAGTAGACTTCTCAGGATGACTAGAGATCTCCACATAGTCCAGAACAGACCTGAATCCAGTAGACTTCTCAGGATGACTAGAGATCTCCACATAGTCCAGAACAGACCTGAATCCAGTAGACTTCTCAGGATGACTAGAGATCTCCACATAGTCCAGAACAGACCTGAACCCAGTAGACTTCTCAGGATGACTAGAGATCTCCTCATAGTCCAGAACAGTTAACAGGCACAGCAAGCCCTCTGACCCTCGCAGCGAGCAGACCCAACCTAACATTTACGGCATAAACGTATTTTCCCTTAGAGCGTAACGGAGGCCCGGTTCTGGGCAAACCGCGCGTGCATCATTCTAACTCCTCAAAGGTAATGTTTAGCCGGATTTAGAAGTGAAGATGTAGTCACTCGTTCCGGGCACGTTATCTTCAAGCCACATGTTTCTGGTCCAGAAACACTTTCAGAACATCCCGCACATTTTGGGGGGCACTCTCAGAATTAGAGCCATTTCTCCCGCATCGGCGCAGCGTCCACAGCAGCTAGACCAGGCATCTCTTATCCAACCACCTAGGCCCTCGGCCGCTCGTCATCCCAAGCGTACCACGCTTACATCCGCAACAATCTAAACGACGTCTGACATGCACACGCTTAAGTCAGCTGCTTTTAATCCGACTCTTTTGGGGGACGGAGACGGAACCCCCACTCTGAGTCTCCCACTGCACGGACCATAGCTCGTCCTCCCAGATCACCTCTTCACCCCCCTCATATCCTTCACATGTTACTTCAATAAACGTACAAACATCACACTGTTGTGGCGTGGTTCTTGCTAGTGAAATGAGGTTAAAATGTTAACATAGGTTCAGGAGCATGGCCACGCCTAAAACTCCGCCTCAAACCACGGCCACCCCTATTTATATCCGGCGAAAGCTTCCGGCCACCGCTTGTCTCATCTTTCAACCCACCCTCCCTCACCCTTCTACCCATAAACATCCTCTGCCCATCACCATTTATATCTAAACTGTGCATATCTATATACTGCGTATACTAACATTAAAGTCCAGGTATCGTCTGGGGGACCGTAATCAGCCCACGCAGTTCATGCCGGAGACGGAACCCCCACTCTGAGTCTCCCACTGCACGGACCATAGCTCGTCCTCCCAGATCACCTCTTCACCCCCCTCATATCCTTCACATGTTTCTTCAATAAACGTACAAACATCACACTGTTGTGGCGTGGTTCTTGCTAGTGAAATGAATTTTAACTGAACAATAACTGAATGAGTTTGTTTCACTCTTAGACCAGCAGGGGAACCAAATCTATGAAGACTGCTGCAATAAGTACATTAATTAACTGTCTCATCGATGTTTGTCTGAATGAATATGATACTATTAACAATCATATTATTCCTATCAGCTGTCAATCACTGTTATGATTCACATATTCATTTATTATTGAATAAACTATATTTTTTGGAGGAGTTAATGATGAATGTTCCTCAAGATGCTTGCTCACCCTCCTTCAAATTTGAAAGACAAGTAAGTATATCATGTATCAAAATTCAAAAGATTCAAAGGAACAGTTCAGCGCCCCACGACTTTACTGCAAACAGTTACAACCTTGACTTTACATCAGAAAGAACAAACATTAAAGAAGTGACTAACTGCATCAGTTAGGGTTAAAAAAAAAAAGTGTATTCAGCTAAAACATATACATCGCTGCAGTTATTATCCAGTGGAAAGCCCTTACCTACTGGCCTAGTTACATCAAAGTGGTTACTTTTTTTTGGCTGGGCAGTGTAGTTTTACACACCGTCTTATTTGACTTTCTCAGGAATTAAAACAGTTTTTTGTGGGCAGACCCCCACAAACAAAATAAATATATATATATATATTGGCCTGTCTGACCAAGCTGTTGGTTGGTTTGCAAACTATCTTTCAAATCGCAAGCAATGTGTAAAATTCAGCGGTCTCTCCTCAAGCTTTCTTAATGTGCCCAGAGGTGTTCCTCAAGGTTCGGTCTTGGGACCGACCCTTTTTACTATTTATATAAATGATGTGGGTAAAAGCATTGATGCCTCTGTACATCTATATGCAGATGATACTGTTGTGTACTGTTGTGCTAGCACTGTTGCCCTTGCATTTGAACGTCTGCAGTCTGCTTTTGACACTTTTCAGTCACATCTGTTCCACCTTAGGTTGGTGTTAAACTCAGATAAGACAAAAGTCATGTTGTTTTCCAATAAGAAAAGGTTACCAACTGTTCTTCCCTGCATCATGTCTGCACAGCATAACCCCATTGAAGCTGTTAACACCTACAGATACTTAGGCAGCACTATAGATGAAAATCTCTGCTTCAAACCACATATTGACAATCTCTTAAGGAAATTGAAATTAAAACTGGGATTCTTTTTTAGAAATAAGGCCTGCTTCTCCACAAGTGCGAGGAAACGGCTTGTAGCTGCCACATTGTTACCGCTCATGGACTACGGGGATGTTGTGTACATGAACGCCTCAGCTCACTCCCTTCATCTGCTGGACGCTGTCTACCATGGGGCTCTGAGGTTCATAACCAACTGTAAACCCCTCACACACCATTGCACGCTGTACTCTTTAGTCAACTGGACATCATTATCAATGCGCAGATCACTGCACTGGTACAAACTCATCTATACCGCTATGCTTGGACTGCTGCCCCTCTACATATCCACTTACATATCACACAAACAGTACAGCTATAGCCTACGATCTCAAAATTACATCACTC